CCCAGTCTCTGGTATGTCTTTATCAGAAACATGAAAACAGATTAATACAGATGGCCTCAGCTGGGAGGACTTAGCTCTGCTCCACATGGTCTCTCACGTTCCAGTAGTCTGGGCTGGGCTTGTTCTCATGGTGGAAGCTGTCAAAGAAAAACTGCACTGGACAGTCAAACAGGCAAGGGAAACTTTACTCAAGGCTACTGCATGCAATAAGAGAGACAGGTTAAACTCAGCTTTGGATACAACAGGGGTAGCTGGGGATTTCTAGTCAACAGGCAGGGTGAAGGAGTCAATTTATCAAGAGGAACGTGTTAGGCATCAAGGCTGGGGGTGATTTTTGCTTAACTGGCTTGGCAGGATTCTTGCTGAACTAGGTTGAACAGGTCAAGGACAAGGCCTTGGGGATCAGAGGATGAGTGGTCAGAGGAGTCTGTCTAAAGTTGGACCAAAGACAGAGCCCTCATCAAAGCGGAAGCCCAACAGAACATGTGGAAGGTACAACACTTCTCGAGGTCTAGACTGTAAAATGTGCAGTACCACTTCTACTGTATTTATTGGCTGAAGCAAATCACGAGGCTAGCCCAAGTCCAAGTAGTGGGGGAATGGCTTCATCACATTGCAAATGGCATGAGTACAGGGAAGGGAGGAAAAACTGGCCTATCTTTCCCATCGATTGATTTCCTGCTCTCTTCTTGTGAAGACCCTCTTCCACGGATCAAAACCATTGGGCCAAATGTAGACCCCATCTACTCCCTCATCCTAACTTATCTGGTGCCTTGGCTGAGTACAGAAGGCTGAACCCTCCTGGAAGGGGCCTGGAAGGGAATTGGAACCCAGACAACCTAGGAATTGCATGTGCTGATGAGGCTCTCAAGACCAAAAGAAGGCAAAGAGAGTACAATGGGAGCTTAATAAACACAACGCACGTAAGTCAGAGACTTGGTCTTTGTGGTGGTGTGCACCCGTAGTCCCAGCTACTTGGGAGGCTGAGGCAAGAGAATCACCTGAACCCAGGAGGTGGAGGTTGCAGTGAGCCGAGATCGCGCCACTGCACTCCAACCGGGGTGACAGTGAAAGACTGAGTCTCTAAAACAAACAAAAAAAAGAAATCACTTTCCAGGATAGTGAGAGTGCCTGGGACAACATTTGTTCTATCTCCCACTTAGAACCCTTTTCACTAACAATTCCACTTAACTTCTATTTGCCATGCAAGTCAACTGGCCCAGGCGAGTGATGCCTGCATTGATTTCCTGAAATCCCAAGGGCTTCCATGGCTCCCCAGGCTCGATCGGGGCACCATGATGCATGTGCAGATGCTTTGCCTTTGCTAATCCTGTGAGCCTTTCACAGAGAGCAGGAAATCAATGACTCAAATATTCACTCAAATATTGACTCAGGCAACTGCTTAAATGAGACTTTGCCCTCTATTGCCAAGGAAGCTGGGTGGCAGGAGAGTTCCTTCAGACTCCTCCCCAGTTGGTCCTGGGTGGAACTGGCCTAGGTTGATATGCCATTGTTTGTTTTACTAAGGGTAAAGCACTGTGAGTCTGGCCACTAAAAATCAGCTCACGGCAGGAGCAAAGACTCGCTCAGCTCACTGGGGAGCATGGAATGCCTGCCATCTGTGAGATGTTTCCAGAATAGAAGGAGCCTTGTGCAAGCCCCAGAATGGCTTGGCTTCCCCAGTGGTTGCTGTTGGGTCCAAGGATCCGGAGTGACTTGCAGGCAGCCGATGCCTGGGGCAAGCACCAGCACCTTGGGCTCCCAAGTGAGAGCTGTCTATGGGGAGCTTGTCTCCTGTCTCCTCTGGCTTGTGCACAAGCCAGTGACCCCAGGGTAGGGGTGGGAGTGGGGGGGCAATGCCCAGAAACAACCTGGCATCTGGGGAGGTGAGAGGGAGGGCTGGTTTGGGAAGCCACTTTGGAATCTTGGCTTAGGAATGCAGAATGCATGACCCTGGGGAAGTGTCCTGCCCTGTCAGGGGCTCGCAGGCCTCATCTATGTGCTGGCCCATTTAGGGCCATGAGTAGGTGACATACAGATAGGAAGCACCTGTACTGTGCATGGTGGGTGCTGTAAACCAAAAATAACATCCTAAGTCCTCCAACAGACTGAGGGGTTCCCCAAGAAACCCGAGAAATATTATTCCCAGTCATGTTGGGAAAAGAGGTCAGACACGCACTGTTACACCCCTTCTCTTTTGGAATTTAGGCACTGACCAGCATTCACATTAAAATAGAGATCGTCATGTTACCGGAAAGGGGTCCTGATTCAGACCCCAAGAAGGGGTTCTTGGACATCGCACAAAAAAGAATTTGGGGGAAGTCCATAGAGTAAAGTGAAAGCCAAGTTTATTAAGAAAGTAGATGAAGGCCAGATGCAGTGTGGCTCACACCTGTAATCTCAGCACTTTGGGAGGCCAAGGCGGGAGGATTGCTTGAGCTCAGGAGTTGGAGCCCAGCCTAAGTGAGACACTGTTCCTAAAAACAAAAATAAAAAACCAAAAACAATTATCCAGGCATGGTGGTACCTGTCTATAGTTCCAGCGTCTCAGGAGGCTGAGGTGGGAGGATTGCTTGAGCCTGGGAGGTTCATGTTGCAGTGAACCGAGATTGCACCACTATATTCCAGCCTGGAAAACACAGGGATAGCCAGTCTCCAAAAGAAAAAAAGAAAAGAAAAGAAAGGAATAAAAGAATGGCTACTCCATAGACAAAGCAGTGGTATGGCTTCTCGACTGAGTATACTTATAGTTACTTCTTGATCATATGCTAAACAAAAGGTGGATTATATATGAGTTTTTCAGGAACGAGATGGGCAATTCCCCAGCACTGAAGGTTCCTCCCCTTTTAGACCATATAGGGTAACTTCCTGACGTTGCCATGGCATTTGTAAACAGTCAAGGTGCTGGTGGGAGTGTGTTTTGCTATGCTAATGCATTATCATTACAGTATAATGAGCAGTGAGGACAATCAAAGATCACTTTCATCACCACCTAGGCTTTGGTGGGTTTTGGTTGGCTTCTTTACCGCATCCTGTTTTATCAGTAAAGTCCTTGTGACCTGTATCTTGTGCTGACCTCCTAACTCATCCTGTGACTAAGAACGCCTGGCTCCTGGGAATGCAACCTCATAGGTTTCAGCCTTACTTCACCATGTATTCTCTCTGAAGGCTGCTACCTATCAGGCTTCATCTACATAAGAATCTGGGCCTCCGCAACCCCCTTACCTTCACTCAAGCATTTCTTTCTACTGACTTCAAGTCTTGAGACACAGCTTAACTCTTTTAACGGGGTGTCCATAAGAAAATCTTTGAGTCTACCTATGACCTGTAAGCCCCTGCTCTGAGTTGTCCTGCCTTTCCAGTCGAACCAAGGTATACCTCCCATGTGTTGGGTTTTGTCTTTGCCTGTAACATTTGTCTCCCTATAATGTATGTCAAACCAAACTGTAGCCTTGGGATCACTGTCTCAGGACCCCTTGAGGCTGCTCCCTAAGCCCTGGTCGCTCATATTGACTCAGAATAAACCTCTTTAAAACATTTTACAGAATTTGGTTTTTCCACGAACCACGCTGGCAAACATTATTTCCCATCCCTACACACAATCACACCCCGGGCTGGTGCCACTTACCTTCCGCCTCATCCCTGGAACATGATTGGCCTTCTCCACCTCTGAGTAGGTCCCGTCTACTCAGCCTTTCCAAACCCCAGCTTCCTGTGGGGGAGGCAGAACGCTGTGAGAGTTAAGAGGCAGGGATGTGTGGGGCAGGTGGCCCCTCCAGCCAGCCAAGGACCTTCAAGAAAGGTGCTGACCTCCTGTGTGTCTCCTCACAAAATGAGACTGCCATACATCCTCCATCAGGGGCCCCTGGAGAGAATGAAGTGAGATGCCACATAGGTAAAGCAGGGGAGGCCCCCAGCCAGCCCCGTGACAGGCCACACAGCTGGAGAGTGCACCTTCCCTCCTGGCACTGACTCAGCACCTCCCACGTGTGTCATGCCCCAGAAACTAACCGTGGGGTCTATTTCAAGTCTGCTTATCCTTTCTCCTGTGCCAGACTTAGAGCATCCCAGAGGCAACCTGACTGCCCTGGCCTCCCAGAACCAGCAGTGGGGAAGGAGGGGGCATCTGCCTGTGGGGCTCCTGGACTTCACTCGTGTGTCCCCTAAAGCAGATCTGACTCAGTCATCCTTAACCGGAAATCTGCAGCCCTGAGAGGTCCTCAGACTCCAGGGAGAACAAATCTCCCCAGATTATATGCTAAGCGGGTGTGTGAGATTCTGCACATTTTGGAAGAGAAATTCCTCACCTTCCATCAGCTCCACAGGAGAGTCCATCTTTGTCTCCCTTTTCTACCTTATTATCTTATAATTACCTTAAAAGCATTTAACTCACTCTGAATCTTTTTTTGAGATGGAGTCTCACTCTGTCACCCAGGCTGGAGTGCAATGGTGCATTCCTGGCCCACTGCAACCTCCACCTCTTGGGTTTAAGCGATTCTCCTGCCTCAGCCTCCCAAGTAGCTGGGATTATAGGTGCCCGCCACCATACCTGGCTATTTTTTTTTTAAGTAGAAACAGAGTTTTACCATATTTGCCAGGCTGGTCTCACCAACTCCTGACTTCAGGTGATCCACCTGCCTAGGCCTCTCAAAGTGCTGGGATTGCAGGCACGAGCCACCATACCTGTCATTTTGAAATTCTGTTCCCATGTTTTTTGCGTGTCTCCATCACTAGAAATTAAGTTCCAGGAGGGCTCATCTCATTCGTGGTTCTATCCTCAGATCCTAAAACAGAGCCTGCCACTCAGTAGGTCTCAATATATTTTGAATGAATTACGTACTTTGAGCCACTGGCTAAGGGATGCAGGTCTTTCTCTGCAATGGAGTCTGGACAAGTTGTGGGCTGCATGTGTGGTCTTCCTCTAGGACAGCGTCTGGGCTGAGGTCAGCTGCAGCAGAGAACACCATGCTCCTGGAATAAGAGTCTAGACAGGGGAGGGGCTCAGAAAGCCCAGACTGGATCTGCCCAAGAAGAACAGAGTTCAAGGGTATCAGAGGACAGACCACTTATGTTAGCATCTTGCAGAAAGGGCAGGACAGTGAGCCTCAGCTCTATTATCTTTGTCTTTTTTTTTTTTTTTTTTTTTTTTTTTTTGAGATGGAATTTCGCTCTTGTTGCCCAGGCTGGAGGGCAGTGGTGCAATCTCAGCTCGCCACAACCTCTGCCTCCCAGGTTCAAGCAATCTCTTGCCTTAGCCTCCACAGTAGCTGGTGTTACAGGTGCACACGACACCTGGCTAATTTTGTATTTTTAGTAGAGACGGGTTTCTCTATGTTGGTCAAGTTGGTCTTGAACTCCTGACCTCAGGTGATCCACCGCCTCGGCCTCCCAAAGTCTTGGGATCGCAGGCATGAGCCACCACACCAGGCCTCTATTTTCTATTGTCGAGTAACATCCTGTCCCAAAACATAGTGGCTTAAAATGATTTTACCGTATCTCATGCTTCTGTGGCAGGAATTAATTCAGGGACTGCTGGGCAGGGTGATTCTTCTGCCCCATGTGGTACTGACTGAGGTCACCTGATAGCACTCGGCTGGCTGGCAGATGGGCTGGTCTGGAGGACCCTGGATAGCCTCCTTCATGTACGGAGTGGTTTGGCAGGATGGCGGCAAGGCTGGGCACAGTGGGGACCGTCTCCTGGAGCACACACGCCTGACCTCTCCTGCGCAGCAGCTCAGGGCTCCCGAGGCCATCAGAAAACCAGGGCAGTCATTGTAAGGCTGCTTTGACCTGGCCCTGGGAGTCACATAGCACCATTTCCATCACACCTCATTGGTTACAGGCAAGTTGCAGAGCCAGTCCAGACCCAAAAGAAAGGAACAAGACTGTACTGCAGCATGAATACCACTGGGATGGGGGTGGGGCATCTTTGGAGTCAAGCCACCACTGCCTCTGTCCTAGCTGGGCTCAGGGACACAGCCTGAAGCCAGGGACATTGGGTGGGGCCAGGAGAAGCCCGAAAGACTCACCCCTTTGATGGCTTTCCCCAGAACAAGGATCAAAAGAACCACTAAGTAACCTCAAATGAGTCCCAACCACTTGAACTTCCAGCCAATTCCATATCCTATTTCAATACTTTGTCCAAGGCAACTTCTCGGTAGAGATGTCGTGTTCCAAGCATGACTAACCACTTGTGGTATTACCTGCTTGTACTTTCACCCCGATCTGTGATTCTGCTCCCTTCTTTGGTCATGCAGATCCAGTGAAAAGAATGGTGTCCTCTCCTGACACATCTCCCAGGGGCAGGAAGCTGTGGTTTTCCCTTACACTTTCCAGCTCCTCGGCCATCTGAACATGCCATTGCCTGAAACCAAGCTTGAGAACCAACAAACAGTGGCTGTGTGCTCTGGAAACATTCAGAGTGACAGTTCAGGTGAAGGCAGGACCATTCTCCAAGTGCTCCTGGTTGCTCCAACCCCATTCACGAAGAACCTCAGGCGGAACCCGAGGGAGGAGGCTGGGGAGAGAAACTGGGAGACTCTAAGAAGGCAGCTGCAGTGCAGGCCACAGACCCTGCCCAGTGGCAAAGGGAAGGAGAACAGCCTTCAGGGAGAGAGTCACAAACCACCTCAGGGATGTGAGGAATCCACACCTCAATACTTCTTGGAGAACTGACAACCCCTGTGAGACACGGGGGCCTCATTTCTCCTTCTCAACAGAACTCTCTAACATGAAGGTTGAAAGCATGGGCTTTGAATAACCTGGGTTCGAGTCCCAAATAGGGGGGCCCTGGAAAAGTTACTGAATCTTTCTGATCCCTTGGTAAAATGAAGAGAATGTCTCCTGTACTACCATTGGGAAGACTCAATGACAGGGACCCCAGAGAGTACCTAGCACTGTACTTGGCATGAAATAAGCATCTGTAACTATAATCTTAAATATTATTATTGGGTCAGTAACCCCACGACCACTGCCAACACCCTCTTCTTTTGCCACTTCCCTGGGCCCAGTGTAGATGATGAACTGCTCTAAATCAGCCATGACCAACAGACATATCATGGGAAAGCCACGTCTATAAATTCAAGTTTTCTAGCAGCCACATTACGAACGGGAACAAGGAGAAAGTACTTTCGATAGTATATTTTATTTAACCCAATATACGAAAATATTATTTCAACATGTAATCAATAGAAAAATGATGCGATATTTTACACTCTTTTAAAAAAATATTAAGTCTTTGAAACCAGTGTGTTCTTACACTGACAGCCCATCTGAATGTGGCCCAACCACGTTCCAGTACGCCGAAGCCACAGGTGGCCAGGACATCCACACTGGACAGCACAGGGCTAGAGGCACTGGGTGGGCCCTTCCCTGTTTCAAGTTCAGTGGCCTGGATGTGGGCACAAGGAGGAATCTGGATCTGGGTTTAAGCTACAAGAACTCCCTCCCCAGGGATAACACAAATATTTTCTGTAACATTCCCCTGCCGGGATTGAAGAGAACAGAAAGAAAGGCAAAGGAAAGAAAATAAATGATGTATTTTTCTTGTTATTATTTTTAGAGACAGGGTGTGGCTCTGTTGCCCAAGGTGGAGTGCAGTGGCATAGTGATGGCTCATGGCAACCTTGATGCCTGAGCTCAAGCAATCCTCCTGCCTCAGCCTCCTAAATAGCTGGGGCTTATAGGCACATGCCACCATGCCTGGCTAATTTTTATTTTTGTAGCGATGGAGCCTCACTGTGTTTCCCTGCCTGGTCTCAAACTCCTGGGTTCAATCAATCCTCCTACCTCAGCCTCCCAAAGAGCTGGGATTGCTGGCTTGAGCCACCGTGCCTGGCCCTTATTTTTCTTTATATCCACAACAGATTGTAATAATACACCACTGTACACAACCTTGCCTCTCCTAATAGAAAGCACATTCTTTATTTGTACAAATAAAAAACCCCGAAATTCCAAGGCTCTGACTGGGGCCCAGCAAGGATTAAGGTCATCAGGTACCAAACAGGACCCAAGGGTAAAGGGAGAGTGTGGGGTTACCTGGAGACTCCCCATGCAGAAAACGAGAGCTGGGGGCTACAGTGAGGGGGCCACTCCACTGTTCAGGTCTCTGGGCTCTCCCTCCATTCAGCACAGAGCACGTGAACTTGGGCATAGAATTTGGTGGTTAAGGCTTGAAGAAAAAGGCCCAAGAACCAATAGAAACTGAAGGAAACTGACAGCATACTGACGAAACACCTTATTCTCTGCCTCTTGTCAGTGTCCATGTAAAAAAAGATCTGAGATTTTAAGAACAATGGGCAGGGGGGGCAACACAGTGAGATCCCCCCATCTCTACAAAGAATAAAAAATTAGCTGGGTGTAGTGGTACGTACCTGTAGTCCCAGCCACTTGGGAGGCTGGAGTGGGAGGACTGCTTGAGCCTCGGAGGTTGAGGCTACAGTGAGCTGCACTCAGGCCTGGGTATCAGAGTGAGCCCTGGTCTCCAGCAAACAAAACAAAACAAACAAGACTCTGGAAGACAATTCAAACAACCAAACAGAAACAAATACAGGCTTGCTAGAGAACCTTTTGAAAAAGGATCTAGGCTGGGCACAATGGCTCATGCCTATCTGGGCGGATGATCACCTGAAATCAGGAGTTTGAGACCAGCCAATATGATGAAACCTTGTCTCTACTAAAAATACAAAAATTAGCTGGGAGTGGTGGCAGGCACCTGCAATTCCAGCTACTTGGGCGGCTGAGACAGGAGAACCGCTTGAACCCGGGAGACAGAGGTTGCAGTGAGCCGAGATCATGCCATTGCACTCCAGCCTGGACAATGAGAGTCAAACTCTGTCTCAAAAAAAAAAAAAGAAAAGAAAAGAAAAAGAAAAAGGATCTAAAACTTCTCAATAAAAGCTTTTGAGGCCAGTTCTAGAAAGAGGACTGGGTTTGAACTGCATGGCTCTTTGCAGTCATCAGAACCTCTATTTGCTTACACGGCACTTGGAAAGACGAGTGTACAATAACATTTGGATAGATAGCACTTTCTGCAAGTGGAAAAGAACTGGTTTCAGTTGTATAGAGTTTTATGGGAGCAAAAGAATAAAGACAATTCTAAACCCAGATTTTCTATTTGATCCTCAGTCCCTAGAAAGTGTGACATCCTAGATGAAGAACAAAAATAAGTTGAACATGGACACAGGGAGGGGAACAGCACACAGCGCGGCCTGTCGGGAGACGGGGTGCGGGGAGGGAGGGTATTAGGAGAAATAGCTCATGCATGCTGGGCTTAACATCTAGGTGATGGGTTGCCAGGTGCAGCAAACCACCACGGCACACGTTTACCTATGTAACAAACCTGCACATCCTGCACATGTATCCCTGAGCTTAAAATAGAAAAATCTAAATTAAAAACAAAAAAAGCAGAGACTTTTCAAAGTGAGAGGATATGATGGCTAGCTACTATTATTGTTCCTCCAAATTAATAGCTGTAACGTACCTGTTTAATCAGCTGGAGGTTAGAAAAATATATATATAAATACAATATTTTTCATGGAAACAACAAAATAAAACAAAGCAAAACAACAAAAGTTAAGTTGAAAGCCATATGTGTTAAGGTCACTCTTAACATTTTTTTTTTCTTTTTTTTTTGAGACGGAGTTTCGCTCTTGTTACCCAGGCTGGAGTGCAATGGCGCGATCTCGGCTCACCGCAACCTCCGTCTCCCGGGTTCAGGCAATTCTCCTGCCTCAGCCTCCTGAGCAGCTGGGATTACAGGCACGCGCCACCATGCCCAGCTGATTTTTTGTATTTTTAGTAGAGACGGGGTTTCACCATGTCGACCAGGATGGTCTCGAACTCTCGACCTCGTGATCCACCCGCCTCGGCCTCCCAAAGTGCTGGGATTACAGGCTTGAGCCACCGCGCCCGGCACTCTTAACATTTTGACCTTTCCTGACAAGCAGAGACCAGGAAAAGACAAGGAAATGAATTTAAGGTACTCAAGTTCCAAATACACGAATCCACTCCTATTTGTTTTTCTCTTTCTTTTCTCAACAAGTTGGGGGACACCGGCAGAAGCAACAACAGCCACTGACTGAACTGACTGTATTTTTCGTGGGGCCAAGAATGACAATGTGTATTTCCCGGATGCCAGAGTGGGTCTCCATCAATGACGCAGGTATTCAACACCAGAGGGCCTGGCTCCCTGCTCAGGGAGGACTCATGGGTCACCTTGGATGACCCAAACCCTCTGACACCTGGCAGAGTGGTAAGGTATTTGAAAGATCTACTAGGAACAGAAAGATCTATTTAGAGTTAGTAATTATTTTCTTAAACTTTCTTGGTGGGTTCAGAAACAAATGATTATTTTGTGTAAATTCATTTATTTTGACTCCTGAAAAGGGAAGAAATAGGGCTTTTGTTGTTTTTGTTGTTGGAGTTATTGTTTTTGAGACAGTCTTGCTCTGTTGCCCAGGCTGGAGTGCAGTGGTGTGATTTTAGCTCACTGCAACCTCCACCTCCCAGGTTCAAGCAATTCTCCTGCCTCAGCCTCCTAAGTAGCTGGGATTACAGGTGCACACCACCACTAATTTTTTTGTATTTTTAGTAGAGGCAGGGTTTCACCTTGTTGGCCAGGTTGGTCTCAAACTCCTGACCTCAGGTGATCTGCTCACCTCGGCCTCCCAAAGTGCTGGGATTACAGGAGTGAGCCACTATGCCCAGTCAGGAAGAGGGTTTTAATACAATTTTTCATCTGGCTGAAAAATATACTTCAGTGTTCAACGATTTGAAATCTCTGAGATATCAGGGAATGAAAGGGATTAAAAGCATTAAGAAATATAAACATAAATGTGTGTGTGTGTGTGTGTGTGTGTGTATTGTTTCTTTTTCTGCCCAGAGAAGACATCTGTCAGTGCTCATAAACCCTGTTCCCTCTGGTGATAAGTTAGGACCAGCTTAACCTAATGGTGGGCAAAAAAAGAACACGCAGAATTCAATGCAATACACATCCTGACAAGTTTCTAAGAACCACGAGAAGTTTAGAAGCAGGAAATAAATAGTAACATCAACCACAAGAAGGCTGTCACTCACTCCATAGTTTAAAATGCTCATACCCAGGTGGGGGTGGGCCATAAGCAAAGCCAGCATTGCAGCAAAAAAAGGACAGACCCAGAGGAGACTCCAAGGATGTAAAAACACGAACGAAACAAAACACAACCAAGCCTCACCACAAAAATGATAACTGTGGGAGGTAATGCATTTGTTAGCTAGATTTAACCATTTCACATTGCATATATACTTCAAAACACTGTGTTGTAAATGATAAATGTGCCACTTTATCTGTCAACTTAAAAACAAAAATGAGAAGGGCCAGGTGCGGTGGCTTATGCCTATAATCCCACCACTCTGGGAGGCCGAGGTTGCAGGATTGCTTGAGCCCAGGAGTTTGCGACCAGCCCGGGCAATACAGTGAGATCCCCATGAGCTGGGTATGGTGGTGCACACCCATGGTCTCAGCTACTCCGGATGCTAAGGCAGGAGGATGGCATGAGCCTCAGAGGTCAAGGCTGTAGTAAGCTGTGGTCACGCCACTGCGCTTCAGTCTAGACGATAGAATAAGACCCCGTCTCTAAAAAAATTAATTAATAAGCTGGGTGCAGTGGGTCACATCTGTAATCTCAGCACTTTGGGAGGCTGAGGTGGGTGGATCATGAGGTCAGAAGTTTGAGACCAGCCTGGTCAATATGGTGAAACCCCATCTCTACTAAAAATACAAAAATGAGCTGGGTGTGGTGGCGAACGCCTGTAGTCCCAGATACTCAGGAGGCTGAGGCAGAAGAATCACTTGAACCCAGGAAGCAGTGAGCCGAGATTGCACCACTATACTCCAGCCTGGGCAACAGAGCGAGACTGTGTCTCAGAAAAAATAATAATAGTAATAAATAAAACATTTTTAATTTTATAAATGAAAAAAAATTTTAATTTAAAAATTTTATAAATTTTAAAAATTTAAAACTTTATAAATGAAAAAAAAAATTGACAACCAAACCCCTCAGGCCCTCTACCTCGCACCGAAAGCCATGTTTGGGAGACAGCGGCTGGTATCCACAGGCCTGACACTCAGTCAAGGCAAGCAGAGCCAGCCCGTGAAATCCTGTACTTCCTGTTTCTGCAGAACCAGCTACAGCACGGTTGAGAGAGGTTCTCCAAATGGGAAGACAGAACAGACAGCTCCTCTGCAACAGCCTGCAGACCCCCAGAAAGGGCGCTCCTGGAAGCAGCAGGGCCTCGGCCTCATCAGCCAACACCATATTCATTTGGGTGGGGGCGATGGCGCTGCCCACCTGGCCTCACTGTCCTTTCGTTCCTCTTTCTGACACACTCAACAGGGAGCGATGAGGCCGGGGTGACGTTCTCCCGCCGCAGGCTGTGAGTATCCTCTTGGCTGTCTTCTTCAGGACCCCTTCCGCTCCGAGAAAACCAGCAAGGCCTCTCCAAGTGCACCGAGCAGGAGGCTGCAAACAACAGCAGGAGGTCAGCTCTCCGCTCCCCCGGGACCCCTGAGCTGTCTGGCGCCCACATGTACAGGGCAAGGGGTGCCTCCCCTCACTCTGCGACTGTGACTCATCACCAGCCCGGACTGCCATGCTTCCAGGTCAATCCCAGGAGTCGCTCCTATCACTTGGGTGCACAAGGGAGGTGACAGGGCTGGAACGCGGGGCTGGATAGCTTCCCTTAGGGAAGGAGGTGACGCGACCCACACATCCTGGCCAGGTGAGGGCGATGCACTTGGCTTAGTGCTCTCTGGCAGAAACAGTCTTCTGGCAGGAGGGCTTCCCGTAGAGCCCGCTGGTGCTGTTGGCTAAAGAGGGCTGATGGGTAGAAAATCACGCAGGTGTACATACACTTAAAATTCAGGTGATGATCTCAGGATCTTTTCATTTCATTTAAACTACAGAACATTTAAAGGTGAAAATACAAGTGGGGAATCATAATTTTCCCACCAGCACAGAGAGAAACATGGCCAGTGATCTGAAAATGAAAAAGCAGTGGGAGAACTGGAGACAGTGAGGGAAGAAGAGCTGAATATTTTAATATGCATTGAATGTAATACAGCCAAAGTCTCTCCGCTTTCTATTTTGAACCTCGCCGTAGACAGTCTGGTGACTACCTGAATCCTGTCAGTCTTCGGGGGCCTGTGCTGGGCCATCTCTGAGGGGCCATGGTGGTGGGTGCCTGATGGGGAGAGCCCCCTTTTCAGAGGTGCCAACGGCCCTTTTAATTAGACCCTTTCCTTCCCTTCCACTCCCATTCGCCTACCCAACACCCCAATCCTTCAGACGCTCACTCTCGACACACAGCCAGGCCATGGTGCCTTCGTATCTTGAACGTTTGGGGTATGACCTACATATAGGCTACATTCCCGGTGAAAAATGTTTCTTTGGTGGGCGACCCTGACATACAGGTAACTCACACCATTTTCCACTTTAGTATAGGAATGAACTGACTATGTGTGAGAATATAAAACAATATGCTTTAAAATCAGGCCAACCCGAGTTCAGGCTCTGGTGCGGGCCTGTGTTAGTCAGGCAATCCGGTGTGTGGTTTCAGCCTCAGTCCCTCCATCTGCCCCATGGGAGATGATCGCATCCGACAGTCTCTGTGAGGCTTAGAAATAACACAGCAGAAGCAACCCACCGCTATGTTTAGCCTATGATGGACAATCACTAAAATAGGATTATTAATATTTTCTAGCCGACTGCCCTCCGAGAGTAGCAATCCCCTCCTCAGTGGCCCTCCAGGTGGGCCACCCAACTTCTGTCTGAAGACGTCTAGTGAGGGGCGTGTCCTGTGGAGTGAGGCAAGCCTGTCCCATGGATGAGTGGCTCTGGTCGCTGCATTCACATGCATCTCCATGGGCATCTTACTCGTGGAAACCACTGGGGTTGGCGGGGACTGGACGGGACATGTTCCTTCCCCCTGCTGAGCCCAGTAGCCCTTCATCACACTGACCCTACAGCGGCAGTTTCTTACAGCCTCGCCTGCAAGGCCAAGGTCTGCTCTCTGGAGCAAGAGAGAACAAATGTACTCCTTCATCAGCTTAGAGACTGGGAGAATCCCCCCAAACACGGTGATATCCTCTCTCTGGTGATTAAATCCCTCTAGGGGAGGGCAGCAGGAGAGTGGTCAGTCAGCATGGAGGGCTTGGAGGATGTCCCGACCTGGGATGGAGGAGAGGGAGCCGAGGGAGATGGATGCCTGGTACCTTACTCCAAGATAGGATGTACTTTCCTCTTTCCTTCCTACAGAAAGAAAACTAGAATAGTGAAACTAAGTTGATCAATCCTACCTAACTCACAATAATGGAGCTGGAATGAATGGCCATGTTATGAACTGAATAACTATCTGTGGACTTCCCCAGATCTGTAATCATCATTTTCAGCACTGCCTCTGACAGAAACTGTGGCCCAAGTTCCCAAAGACTCTGTTTGGAAACAAGGCCCCTTTGTGAAGCTGGGAGCCTACTTGTTGCTTGTCTAGCTCAGGACCCCAGATGCAGGAGGCTCCTATCACCTCTCCTCTTTGGAAAATACATGACTGTGAAGGAGAAGTGTTCTTTTTGCACACAGGCTCACCTCCAAAGACCTGGCTTTTCCTTGCAAGTGACTGCTGTTCCCCTCCATAGCCCTTCAGGAGTACATATGCCACCCTGCCAAGTCCCTGGGCCATGCAGAGTCACTGCGACTGAATGCAAGGGCTGCCCAGGGCTTCAGGTTTGAGAGGGCTCGGACATTTTATACACTTTCCACTAATCCTTCTTAATCACCAGGGAGAAAACCAGGGTAGCGGTTGGCCCCTTGCCACTTTTACTCCCACAGCCTTAGAACAATGCTGGAGTGTAATAACCTTGCATTCTGTCCCTTCGCCTGAGCTATTTTACGAAACGCCAAAGCAGCTTAGTAAATGCTAAAAATGAAAACAAACCTTGGTTCAGTTTACTGTTAAGAGAGCCAGGGAGGTGAGCTTTGATGTTGTTTTCTAAACAGCAGGAAAGGCTGACATGGGTCCAGGAATCTTAATAGCATTACAACTATTTAAGTCAGAGCTTGACTGAACTGTTTGCAAATCTTGTAATCCCCATCATTCCTGAAGTGAACAAACTTCATGTAACCAAGGCATAAACATCAGATTGCAGGGCACACATGGCTAGAAATATCCATCACTAGCTCCTCTTCCAGAGGTTTATTTTCAGCGCTTCTCCAGCCCTTCTCTTTTCTCCTGTGGGGGACTGAAGGCTCCATTTAAATTTTACATTTATTATTGTGGCTATTCAATGAATTCCTGTTGAGCCCAGTAGAGAGAGGACAGAGGCTGCATCCTTCACCTGGCTGCAGGTCCCACACCTAATGCAGCACTCAGTAAATACTGATTCAATGAATAATTAAACTGTTAATATTTGCTGCCCCCTTTCCCATCTATAGATGGGAGGAGTCCCAAACTATTTGGTCTAAAATTGTTTGGTCCCAAACTAGTTTTTCTTTTTTCTCTCTTCCTCACCACAAATGCGTCTGCCCCAAGTTCCATTCCTTGGAGCTCTGCCGAGTGAGTTCATAATCTATTAAATTATGATAAAATTTGAAAAGTAATGTGCAATCATTATTGAGAAGGCCCTTCTTACACAGAATTTTAAAGCGGCGGTTTCAAATTTTTCATTCAAATGGAAAACTCATAAATTTCCGACACTGTGATCCTGAAGGCACTTTAGAATGTGATGGGGAAAGTTTGCTTTGCCCCTAAATTCATTCTTCCTATACTTAGGCTCGGGCCTTAAAACTAAAGGGGTAAGAAACCTTTACACAAAGATTATGTAAGTTATAATAATGATCGTTAAAGATCATTTTCTAAAGGCCCTTCATGGTGTTGGTGAGGTTTGTGCTAGGCTCAAGTTCAAGTGATCCTCATGGCTGATAAACTGCAGTCTGTGGCAAGCTCAGGGAATGACGTGCAGAGGGAAAATGTGGTCATGGAACCCTTAGAACAACAAAGTTGCATTTGGTTATTCCTTTCGTTCCTTGTCCCGAAACTGTTCCACAGGAAAGGGTGACTTTCCCTGTCTGTAAAAGGGGATTCTCTCAGAGAGGAGGCACCATAACTAATTCCACTTGACAGGGACACTGCTCTCAGGCCAGAATCTTTCTCTTTCGTATGCTTCAAATCTCCTTTGCTGAATTTTGAAATAGAGGGAATTAATATATACTATAAAACTGTTAATTAAAAACAAATAATTAAATAGGAATCTGGATATTTAAATCACTGAGATTGAAATAGATTGTTTTTATAATAATTGGCTGGACAAGAGCAGTTGTTTTAAAAATTGACCAACATAGGCCAGGCACAGTGGCTCATGCCTGTAATCCCAGCACTTTGGGAGGCCAAGGTGGGCAGATCATGAGGTCAGGAGTTCAAGACTAGCCTGACCAACATGGTGAAACCTCATCTCTACCAGAAATACAAAAATAAGTTGGATGTGGTGGCACACGCCTGTAATCTCAGCTACTCAAGAGGCTGAGGCAGGAGAATCGCTGAAACCCGGGAGGTGGAGGTTGCAATGAGCCGAGATCGTGCCACTGCACTCCAGCCTGGGTGACAGAGCAAGACTCTGTCTCAAAAAAAAAAAAAAAATTGACCAACATTGAGTACTTAGGTTTATAATTGTTCTTGGATACAATATTTTGAAGGCTGGCCACTCAGTGTTGATTCAGCAAGTATTCAACAGCAGGTCTAGAGACGCAAATGTGAAGAAACACACCCTTTCTCCTAGAGCTATTCGCAGCCTGGTGGGTGAGATGGCGCCGGCCACCTGTCACTCAGTGCGGCAGGTGCCCATGGAGCCAGATACAAACACAGAAGGGGTGGGAGGAGCAGCTGAGGGCCTGACACTTGAGCTGATCCAAAGCTCTGATTTGAGGAGCAGGTTCCTTGAGATCCTGCTGAAATTTCAAGCAGCATTTTCTCCACTAGCTCCCATTAAGTTTAGACCAGTGATTCTCAACTGGGATTCGACATTTGGCAATGTCTGGAGACATTTTTCATTGTTACAACTGAGGGGGTGCTACTGGCATCTAGCGAGTGAGGTTCAGGTTTGCTGCTAGACATCCTACAAGGCACAGAACAACCCCTCAAAACAAGGAATTATCTGGTCCCAAATATTAATAGTGCTTTAGGTGAGAAGCCCTATTTCAGATGGTCCATTTTGTGCCGCTAAGCTCTTGTCCATCCAAGCAGGAGGATAATGACATATATATTTGAACACGGTGATCTCCCTGGAGCCAGGGAATGTGCCTTTCTTACTTCTGTAGCCTCAGAGCCCAGCCCAGCCCTTTGGTGGAATGTATGAATATACAAATACATGGATGCAGGCTACTGGCTAGAGCAGGGTCCTCCAGTCTCAGCCAGCCTAGGGTAGTGGAGGCCACGGCAGATAGGAGAGCACACGCCCACTGCGTGAGGAGGC